CCAAGGCATCTCATGCACTGTGTAGCTGAACATGTTTCAGTGGAGCTTCCAGACTAAAATAGACTAGGCCTGGTGATCTACTTCCAAAAGTCAGCCAATAAAAATCTTACGATCACAACAGTCCAATCCAAAACTGACTGATCACGGGGACAGAGGAGGACTGGGCAGTGCTTTGTTCTATCACCCACGGGGTGGCTGTGAGTCAGGGGACAACTCAATGGCAGCCAACAATAACATGTGGCTCACATTATGTTTCCACTGAACAGAGCTGCTCTAAGCAACTAGCTGGGTGTTAGCGTGTTAGCTGTTAACTGAAAAGTTGGACGTTTGAGTCCACCTCGAGGCACCTCAGAAGAAAGGCTTGGCAATCTACTTCTGAAAAATCGACGACTGAAAACCCTACGGTGCACAGCTCTACCCTGACACACGTGGGGTTGCCATGAGTCAGAGCCGACTTGACGGCCGCTGGCTTTCTGAGACACTGACTGCTAAGGCATCACGGGGCAGCAGCACTGGCAAGATCACTCCAGACCCGGTGTCAGAACGCGCGTTTCAACGAGACCCCAGCTGGGCATACGCTCATTACAGTTTGAGGGCTGCCCTCCCGCCCCCTGGAGAAATGCCGTCTGCCAGCCCACCCAGCTCCAGCCCTGCAAGGGGCTTCTTGCCATGTCCCAAGGCAGCACAAGGGCCTCTCCCAGGGTCCCCCAGGGCTTGGCGAGTCGTGTGGTTTGTCTCACCGTCATTTCTCTGCCTGGGGACCTCTGAGTGCCAGTGAAGTGGCCAGAGGGACCAGGGCCAGGCCACATCCCCCCTCATCAAATCCCTCCCAGCACCCCCCACTCACTCAGCAAAAGCCGACGCCGGCCCTGGCCTGCGAGGCCCTCAGCACCCTGGCCCCAGCCCAGACCGTGATCACTGTGCTCCACCTCCTGGGCCACCTCAGCACAGTACAGCCTCCCAGCCTTTGCAGCTGCTGTGCTGCTGGGCACCCCCTGCACGGCCCTGCCCATGCCTTTCAAGTCTCTTCCTCACCTTCACCCGAGCCCCACACCTGTACGTCTCCTCTGAGGGTTACCATCACACCAGTCCAACCCAGAAAGCAGCCCCTGGGGGAACTCAGGCCTTGGCTCTCCATCTCCCTCCCGGGCTGGCTTGGGGCCCAAACAGGATCCCCAGGCTTGGGCAGCAGCCAACCAGGAGGGGCCAAGGGGCTTATCCATCCCCCACTTTCTTCAGCCAGAATTTAACGAGAAGACCTAAGTTTAACGCATAGGAACCACTCGCCGGGGTGAATGACGCACTCATGACATGGACTCTCCAGTTCAAGGTACAGATGCCGACACCGTTGTGGAAAATAATGGCACGGGACTCTTTATTTTCTTTAATCAGAAAAATAGACCCGTGTTTCTGGGCGGGCAAGCGGGCGATCCTGGGCGACCACCAGACAGATGCCTGCAAACCTGCCCACTGTCCTCGCTGCTGGGTCTGCGCGCGGAGGCTGGGGTCCTGGAAGAAGCGGGCGCAGGGGGCCCAGGGGTCAGGGACGCCTGCCCGGGCCTGAGAACCAACGTGGCACCGGGGCCATGGCCCCCCGCCCTGTAAACAGGGTGACTCGGGAGGTTGCCACCATGAAGTAAGGCGACGTGGGCAGCACTGAGCCCGGCGGCTGTCTCCCCTGGGTCCCTTCCAGCCAGAACAGGTGCCTCTGCAGAGCCACCACTGCGGCCGCCCTCCTCGGGCTCCCTCAGCCCCCATCTCGAGAAGCACTGGTGTGGGGCTGCCCTGAGACAAGGTTGGGGCCGGTGAGGCCACACCCTGAGGGTGGGTGCTCCAGGGGGCCAGGGCCCAGGGACAGCCCTGGAACATGAGGTCCCCAAGAGAGTGGCCCAGCAGCCAGGCAAGGTTGCAGGAGAGACACTCAGAGGGGCTGGGTAGGGGCACTCACTGACGCAGCACAGGGGGAGGGTGAGATCTGGCAGCCACGCCCCACAGGACCCCACCGTCAGGGCTGAAGCCAGGCCCACACACACGTGCCTACTAACACACGCACACACACGTGCACACTCGCACACATGCCACACATGTGCTGGGCGGTGCACCCGTGAAGGTGCAGTGGAGAGTAGAGACAACAGTGTTGGCAATTTAGAGGCACAGGAAGAAGTTGGGGACCCTAGCTCTGAGCCCTTGGTGGCTGTCCCCTCGGGGGCACGTATGTCACAGGCAGCGCACGGTGCAGGACGCCAAGACGCCAGAGGCCAGGGCACCGGTGGGGAGTCCTGACGGCAGCACTTGAATCCCGCCCAGAACGTCTTCTCTTCCTGCATGGCGGCCCTTGGTGTGGCCCCGTCGCTCTGGGTAAAGCTCTGTTCCAACAGCAGACAGCCCGGCCCATGTGGAGAGACTTCGGTGCAGTCCGGTCCAGGCCGGGGGCTCTTCTGCGTGGCCATACGTGGAGGCATCTGGAGAGCTTATCTGGAGAGGTTCCCGCCAGGCATCAGGCTCCAGGACTCACGTACGGGGCCTGGCGGGCCACCCCTGGAGTGGACGATCGGGTCCGTCGTGACCTCAGGGGCCGGCAGGGATGGCCCAGGGCTAGGAGTGAGACCTGGGGCTGACGGGCCTGACCCAAGTCCAAAAGTGACCGCCGTGGCTGACACGGGTGCCCCAGGAGTGGCCGGCGGGCGGGCCGCCCCAGAAGCGAGGGCCGGTCTGGTATTGGCAGTAATGGCTGGGGTTTGCGAGGCTGTCCCGGGCCCAGAAGCGACCGCAGAGGCTGGCAGGGCTGTCCTGGGCCCATGAGCGGCCGCTTCCTTTGGCAGGGCTGTCCCAGGCCCATGAGTGGCCGCTTGGCTGAGCGGGGCTGTTCCGGGCCCATGAGTGGCCGTTTAGGCAGGCGGGGCTGTCCTGGGCCCAGCAGGGAAGGTTTGGGTTGGCTGGGCTGCTTAGGGGCTTTGCCTACTTGCTGGGGCTGACCAAGGGCCAGCAGTGGCTGCCGGAGACGGCCGGGCTGGCCCAGCAGAGATCTGCGGGGCTGGCAGCGCTGACACGGGGCCAGGAGCGCCCGCTGGGGGCAGCAGCATGGGCCCAGGAGGGAGCTGGGGGGCCGGTGACGTGGGCACAGGGCGAGGAGTGAGTGTGGGGGCTGGCACCGTGGGCAGTGGGCCAACAGTGAGCGCAGCGGCAGGCCGCGCTGTCCTGAGGATGCCCTGCTGGGCTGGTGGCGGAGACATGGGGCCACCCAGGACCGCATGGGCCAGCAGCGGTGCCGCAGGGCCAAGAGCGAGCGCAGCGGCCGGCAGAGATGGCATGGGGTCAGCAGGGAGCGCAGTGGCCGGCAGCGGTGGCTGGGCGCCATGAGGGACTGCAGCGGCCGGCAACGGTGCCATGGTGCCAGGAGGGAGCGCAGCGGCCGGCAGTGGTGGCACGGGGCCATGAGGGAGCGCAGGTGTCGGCAGCGTGGCCGTGGGCCTCGGAGAACCCAGTGTGGCCGGCAGGGCTGGGCCAGGAGTGACCGCCGGGGCTGACAGAGCTGACCTGGGGCTGGAAGCAGCCGCTGGGGCTGGCAGGGCTGACCCGGGCCCAGAAGTGACCGCCGGGGCTGGCAGGGCTGTCTGAGGCCCAGAAGTGGCCGCTGGGGCCAGCTGCGCTGACCCGGGAGTGACCGCTGGGGCTGGCAAGGCTGCCCGGGGTCCGGGAGTGCCCGACGGGGCTGGCAGCGCTGACACGGGGCTGGGAGTGACCCTTGGGGCTGGCTGGGCTGGAGCTGCTGCTTGCGTTGGGCCGGGCCGTTCTGGTCCCAGGGGTTGGCTGGGAGCGGCCCCCCTTCTGGGGAGCACACCTGCATGGAAGAAAGAGCACGTGTCCACCTGGGCAGGTGTGCCCACACACCCTCCCATCCAGCCCAGGCCCGAGACATGCTGTTCCCTCATCAGCAGCCCAATTCCCAGTAGAGTCCAAAGTGGAGCCTGACACACCGAGAAGAACCCCTCTCTGAAAAGAAGGCGCAAACTAGTGAATTCCAAAAGAGGAAAGCAGCTGCAGTTATGAGCCATTGTCTCGGACAGAAACCCTACACTCTGAGGGAGCAGCCTCTGAACCTAACTTCCTTGAAAGCCTCTTCCCAGTCTCCCCTCTGGCCCTAACCAAGCTGAACTCTGGGTGACCTCCCACTGAGGGGGCCCCACAGGAGAAAGAGGTACACCCACTTCCAGCATCGACAGAGGGAAGACCCACCGAGTCTGATGAACAGAGCCTGTTTTCTGGTCGATCCTGGTACCTGGGCAACCAACCACAAGTCATGTGATTCCAGAGACCACTGGGCCAAGCACCTAAAGGTGCCACTACGAGCTCCCTCTCCCCTCACACCATGGAGACACTGTGTCTCGGACAGGGTTAGCTGATGGCGCCTGTGTGTGCAGCAGGAGAGCACTCAGGCACGTGACGGGTCCCCCATCTTTTCACAGACACACTGGACACCCCGTACTCGGCGGAGCCTGACAGACGCAACAGGGAAACGGGGCCAGCCTATTAGCCTGGTGTTGTAGCTGCCCCATGCTGAGGAGGCATCCCCCCACTCAGGCTAAGCACACACCACGTACCCCCCAGCCAAGGACACAGCACGCAGAGCATCTGCCTGTCCAGCATTCAGTGGGAGAGGCACGGCATTGGCTCTAGGCTGGCCTGGGCCTGAGTCCTGGCTTGGTCTCTATACAGTGTGTGGTCCTAGGCAAGTTGTTACCCCTCTGTGTACCAGCAGTCCCCATCCTAACTCTGCTCTGGCCCCCAGTCCTGTGAGCCCCAGATCCTGAGCCCAACAATGATGGCGTACATTGCCAAACAGGCCCAGATGCCGACGGGTGGTGTCCAGGTGCTGGCACTGGCCCAGAAGGCACCCTGGGGGAGTGTGCACAGACCTCGCTGCAGAGCCCAGGTACCCAAGGTGGGGGAGGAGTGTGTACCCAGGGAAAGGGATCCCAGGTTGAGAGACTGGGGCTCACCTGCTTGGTGGGCTGCAGTGGAACCTTCTTCTTGCCCCGGTCACAGGTAGGTTCTAAGTCCTGCTCAGGGCTGCCTGCCTCCAGGGGCTGCCCGTTCTCACTGGGCTCTGCTGACGGGCAGTTTTCTGACTCCCGGGGCTTCTTGTTGAGGCGACGTTCCCATTTCTCCTTCCGCTCATGTGGCTTTAGGGCCATGTCCTTCTGCAGGGGTGAGAAAGGATACAGCCAATTAGTGTGAGAGCCTCAGGTTGGCCAGGGATACATGGATCCCACCTGTTATCCCATTAGTGACACTACCGTGGGACTCTTGTCATCCCACTAGTGACACCATCATGGGACTCTTGTTATCCCACTAGTGACACCATTTTGTGACATTTGTTATCCCTCTAGTGACACCATCGTGGAGTTGCACCACGCTTGCTTGGGTAGTTCTGGGCCCTCTGCTTTTTTGACAGCACCTAGGTTGGCCCCATCTGAGTGGGCTTCTCAGCTTGGACGGGGGAGGGTTCGTACCTCTAGGGAAAGGGCCTCATATCTTGGGAAAGCCACCTCTGAGAGGGGGAACAGATGGATTAAAGCTAAAGGGAGATGGATGGGTCAGAAATGACTGATACTGGGATAGACCCATTGAAAACGTGAAAATGGAGGGGACAGAGATGAGAGATTTTCCTAAGGAGCCCCACTCAGGAATAAGAGTGTGGTCCCAATTCTTAACCTGGTGCTCTTCCTGGGGGCCTACCATGGCACTCCTGCTGCCTCCCAGTACACACGTGTGTCCTCAGAGCCTGGATCCATCCCCTCCATGGTCCTGAGCCCAGTATAAAGCCTTGCACGAGCCTTAGCATGAAGTAGAGCCAAAGTAGACTCAACGGTGCTGGCCGTGGCAAGGAGCAGCCCTCCCTAGAATTCCTGGTCTGAGACCAGGGCTTGGGGCAGTAGATGACCTCAGGCAGAGATGAGTCAGTCTTGGCTGGTCCCAGGTTGCAGAGCCACCTGCAGACTCATCTGGCCAATTCCAGGCTGTCAAGCATCGTACTTGATACTTGTAACGTGGGAAAGCCCCACCTCAGCCAGGACTGAAGTTCCTCGGGGACCCAGGCCTGTACCCTGCCTTGTCCTGGGTGGAATTTCCCAGCTAGGGGGAGGCAGCTGTCCCAGACTTCCCACGCGTCCCTAATGGTCTTTGCTTGGGACCCTGCCCCTGCCCATCTGAGGGGCAATGAGAGAGGGGAGAAGAGGGGGGTTGGGTGGGGCCAAGGACATATCCCGCCCACCACATGCACACATTTAGAAAGGTGCTAGCCTTTCTAAAGATGAGCAGGGCCCTAAGGGGCAGGCTATGTGCCTGTAGCAGAACATTTACAACATTGTCGATCCTCTCTAGAGCCAAAGCCGTAACCCCTCTGACCTGCCTGGAATTCACGTCTGAAGACCGCTGCCCCGTGATTCTGTAGGTGAGATGAACAACCAGCTCATCTTGTGGCTACAGCTGCCCCATGAGCTTGCAGGCCTGTCCTGAGCCCCATCCAGGATCCACCAAAGGATCCAAGCAGAGGACAGATGACAACTCCTGGAGACATGCCCAGAGACATGGGCGTCTGAACTAAGATGAATACTTTCCCTGGGCTATCAGACCTGCGGAGACCCCACAGGCCACTGCATTTATGTAGCTTCACCTTCACTCTCAGGGGGTCAACATCCCATCTCATCTCTGCTCTGAACCCTTCGGAGCTTGTGGGGGCCACATTCACCCTCCTCTGCCTGGAGGCTGGCCAGCCCTTCCCCAGGTGTCAGATGACTGAGCCCCAGCCATGGTGCCGGGGGACCTTCCAAAACCCCCATGGCGTCTGGGCCTCTGGCCCCTGCCTATGGGCATCAGGCCAACTCCAGGCTTGGGTGGGGGGTGATCCCCAGTCTCTTCATTTCATGAACCAGCAACGAGGCCTACTGTGTACCAGGCTTGGGGAGGCAGTGGTCTCCAGCTTCTTTATTCCATGAATGAGCAATGAGGCCCACTGTGTGCCAGGCTGTGCTTGCCAGGCTTTGTGATGCCATCAGTCGGTTCCACAAGAGGGAGCCAGCAAGCCATGCCAACCCCAACCAGCAAGAGCACTCAGACAAGGGGAATCAGCTACAATGAGAACAGACAGTAGCCAAAGGGAAGGGGCAACTTGGGCAGGGCCTGGGTGACGAGTGGGGTCTGGCAGAGCCTTCCCTCCATCAAGCCTGCCTCCCGGGGAGAGGGTGCTGCACTACACTGTACAAAGGTGATGCGAAATGTACACAGGCGCAGACGGCAGTTCTAAGGAGCCTTCACACTCACACATACTCACACACACAGTCGTGTACACACACACATTCACACACATCCAGACTCACACGTACTTACGCACAGTCTTTTTCTTTTTTAATGTAAAGACATGTAATTAGTTCTTAGAAACAGATGGATAATACACAGTTGTTAACTTTATTTTCTCTTCCTTCACGTTCCATTTTATTTTTTAACATGTGCTAGTAGTAATTCTACAGCTTTGAAAATGGGTTGAACTAGCCATATTAGTTCCAGATCACTGTTGGAATGAGGAATATAATCCTGTCAATAAACACATATGGAAATAGAGAAAGGTTTCTTAAACATAACCCAGAACACAAAAGTCATAATGGGAGAGATCAAGAAATTTTACTACATAAAAATTGAAAATTTTAAAACTCAGTATAAACAAAGAAAGAGAAGTGATAGACTGTGAGAAAATATTTACACTGTAGATAACAGATATACCATTTCTATCAGGAATCTGTAAAGAGCCTCTACTACTACTACTAATCCAATACAAAAATGGTCACAGGATGATAAACAGGAAATTGACGTACAACCTAAATTACAAACAAACATGAAAATATGCTCAATATCACTAGTAGTTAGGGTAATGTAACATATAAAAGACAATTCTGGTTTTGCTCAAAAGTTACGCATTCTCATTCACAGGCCGGTTTATGAGATTTAGTTTACAAAGTCTTTGAGTGGTCCTTAATCAGAGGTATTCTGTTCCTAAATCTATGTTCATTACCCTAATGTGGATTTTAATCCATTTCATTATATAAAAATTGATTACTCCTTGGTCTTTCCTAACATAATGAGCCTTTACGGGGTTAAAGGGCAGGAAATCTGAATCCATGGTCCCCAGCATGGGATCTGGTCCGTGAATGAAGGAATGAATGATGTCATAACGTCTCTATTTCCTCTTTACTGAAATAAAACAGAAATAGCCCTCATCCTTCTAGACTCTTAACAAGACTTTTGTCTCAAATATTAGGTCTCTTTTTGTCTGTCAAACTCACTCTACCTTTTAAACTCTTTATACCTCCAGTCCTAGGTAGGCCCTAGTTCTCTTTTTTTTTTAAAAAAAAAAATATTTTATTGTGTTTTAGGTGAAAGTTTACACAGTAAACTAGGTTCCTGTTAACATTTGTTACACAAATTGTTCCATGCCATTGATTACAATTTTTACAATGCGTCAGCAACCTCATTTCCATTTTGTTTGTTCTGTTTCCATTGATCTAGCTTCCCTTCCCCTCCTTGCCTTCTCATCTTTGCTTTTGGGTAAATGTTGACTGTTTGGTCTCACCTAGTAAATTGTTTAAGGGAGCACATTACTTGAGGGTGATATTGTTTATTTTATAAGCCAATCTATTGCTTGGCTAACGGGTGATCTGCAGAAATAGCTTCAATTCCAAGCTCAAAGATTATCTTAGGGCGATAGTCTCAGGGGTTCCACTCGTCTCTATTGGGGTCCAGTAGGTTTGGCTTTTTTTAGGAATTTGAGTTTTGTTCTACATTTTTCTCCCATTCTACCTGGGACCTTCTTTTGTGTCCCTGGTCAGAACGGTCGGTAGTGGTAGCTGAGCATCATCGACTTCTGGTCTCAGGTTAGAAGGGGCTGTTGTTCATGTGGACTATTAGTCCTGTGGACTAGTTTCTTCTTTTAGCCTTTGATTTCCTTCATTCTCTTTTGCTCCATACAACTACAGACCAATAGTTGTATCTTAGACGGTCACTTGCAAGCTTTTAAGACCCATATCCCACTCACCAAACTAGGATGAAGAACATTATCTTTGTGAACTATATTATGCCAATTGACTTAAGCAGTCCCCCGAGACTACAGTCCCAAGCCTTTTAACCCAGTAAACCATTTCCACAAGTTGTTTGGGTATATCTAGGAAGGCTCCCTTAACTGTGCCCCCGTATGGTTTGTTATATATGTGGGTATATATGTAGCACACACCAATGTGTATATACCTATGCCTACAGTTACACCTATACATGCACGTGCATTTACCTGCATATGCCTTCCTATACACATACGTGCATCCATACCTACCTACATAACCACACGTATACTTTTGGGTTATTTTTACTGTTGTTGCAAAATTGTATGTTACATCATTCACCAAAATTTTCCCTTTTTCTGGTGTACTTCTAAGCGTCTTTATTTACCTTGGTCAAGTTGTGCTGACATCTCTCAAGTTTGGTCTTGCCTGCCCCATCACCAAACAGGTTTAACAAGTGTCCACCATCTAGAAGGTGATTCCCCCTCCCTCTCCCTCTCATCCCTGGTAACCACCAAAGAACTCTGCTTTCTGTGTGTACACCTATTCTTGACTTTTTATAATAGTGGGACCACACAATTTTTGTCTTTTTGTGATCGACTTATTTCACTCAGCATAATGTCCTCCCCGAGATTTATCCACGTTATGTTTTGCAGACTCTTCGTTATTCTTTATAGTTGCATAGCATTCCATTGTGTGTATGTACCACAACTGGTTTACCCATTCATCTGCTGATGGACACTTAGGCTGTCTCCATCTTTTCGCCATTGTGAATAACGCTGCAATGAACATAGATGTGCATATGTCTATTTGTGCCACTGCTCTTTTATCTCTAGGATATATACCCAGGAGTGGGACAGCTGGATCATAAGGTATTCGTGTACATTCACACACGCACATCCACACTCATGTGTGTGCACACACACACATACATCCACACTCACACACACCCATGCGGTCACATGCACACACACTCACACATATGTACACTCACACACAATCGGAAGGACAAACCCAGGTCGGTGTAGGGTCAGTCCTCATCGAGCACCGTCCACTGCCTTCCTTGGCCTTGCGACTGCCCTGTGTTCCTCGCT